ATTTCTAGCCCTCTCTAGGCTCTGCACACTCTTGAACCCTTGCAGTCTCCTCTCCTAGCCATGACCTAGACTGGTAGGGTTGAGGGGAGTCCAGTAGCTAAACTTATAAGAATGGGGGCTTGGAATATCTTTGAACTATCTCGTCTGTGTTTATCTTTGAATTGTGTATAAATATTTTATGTATTCCAAGAACTATTCATGGATCTATTTATAGATATTCATATTTTTATATACATAGCTCTAGATATTTTTTTAAGCTTTTTTCCCAAATCATAGTAGTCTATTTTGTTGTCTAATATATGTTCATTTTAATCAAATAACTTGTAGGAGTAATTCCATAGTTGTACAATGTGGAAGCAAACTAACTGCTAGTGACAATTATAACCATTGTTCACTGCTATTTAAGTACTAGACTAAGAGTACATTTTTTATACAAGTTTATTTTTACTCATTCTTTATATTAGTTCTCTAGGTAAGTGGTCTCAATTGTAAATCATCATTTTATCTTTAATTCTGATACTATATGAAATTTGATTAAGTGTTAAGCAATGTCTCAATGGCAAAAACTTATCAAAATGACTATGGCCAATCTTTTTTTAAAGATATATGTAATCAATTTCATTTCTTTAAAAAAAAGGGGAGATTGTCATACAATGCAGTTGGTTTAGACACTTGCATTGAGAACACTGCTTCAATGTTTTCTCCCAATACCTATGTATAGACTTTACTCAGAGCTTCAACACTTGGTTTTCTTTGAACAGCTCACTTATCTATAACAGTGTCTGATACCATGCTCATAAAATAGCCTAGTGCCTGACACTTAATTAGTGTTGTATTGGCTCACATTTATCCATTCAAAATTCCATTTGAATATCATAACTTCCTAAACAATTTTCAGTTGTAGCTTATAGAACTGTCTTAGATTTATCCCAGAAGTTCAAATCCCAGGGAAGAACTGATGGCTTATGTGAGGAGATGGCCCCATGTTTTTCCTGCATCTCCATATATCAAGGACCACATCATTCCAAAGAGCTGACATGACACAGTTTCCAGCAACTTAATTTATTTGCTTTTTGTCACAGGAGTATGAGACTAGTTTATAGATGGTACTGATGATACTGAAAACTCTACAATGGAAACTGTGTCATACTCTAATCCAGAGTCACTTCTGAAAGGCAGCCATTCTCAACCTCTTTAAATGTTTCTGGCATTATTTTAGTATTTTTAAATGCTTTGCTTCTACTACTATTTATTGATTAACCAAATATTAGTTTCCTGCTATAGAAGATGAAGATTCACATCCCCTGCTTTTTCCCTCCTTCCTTGCTCTCACCTTCCCAAAAGTGTTATATCACAATATTTGCTTCCTTAGTCTCATCTTCACAAGTAGTTTTATCACAACTTTGTGTTAACTAGATAGCCAATATACACTATTGTGACTATTGCTAACTTCTGTTTGTTTCTTTTTTAGCTGAGCCATCTGCCACCTGTTGGCAGCTCAGCGGCAGCCCAGCTCCAGCCGGGAATTGAACCGCTAGTTGCTCAGAGCTCGCACTCTTGAGTGAACTCTTAACCAACTGAGCCACTTGGCTGGCCCTATTGCTAACTTCTTATTCAAGCATTGTACTATGATTACATTTGCTTCCTTACACAGGTTTTATATGTCCTCAAATTAGAAATCGCCTTTTTCATTTCCTTGACTTTTCATGCACCTGTATTTGTTTTTGGGTTTTTTTTCCCCAAGGGCTCCCATATATCTGCCAAATGCCATGTCTATTATAATATCAAAATCTCAAAACCATCAATGAATTTTTAAGTTCCATTTTTCCCAAGTCTACTGCCTTACTTCATCTTACAGCACCTGTCTAGGGCTATTGCAGTGTTTTCATATTATTTACCTCTCTTCTGTGTCAGTTCTTCCGTTGTGCACTGGACCTGACAACTTCCTCTTCCGGATTTATTCCCTCATCTTTCTAAGACACATCCTTCAGTAGTTTTCTAAGACAGTGTATGTAGAAAGTAAATACTTTTAATCCCTGAAGACCTGAATATGTGTTTGTTCTGCCTTCATACTTGTTGGTAATTTGACTGGGTATAAAATTCTAGGTTGAAAATTATTTTCCCTCAGAATTTTGAAATTCCACAGTTTTTGAAGGTCCATGGCCTTCTTGTTTACAAGTCGCTGTTGGTAGAGCCACTTTTCCTTTCTCCTGCTAAATTTCTAACCATTCTTCCGGTTGCTTTCTATCTTCCACATATATGTTGACCTCTCTTCTACCCTTGCTGCTCCTCACAGTAACCTTGTTATTTGGGGCTTGTACCAAGTTTTTATTCTTTGACTGTAATTTTAATGGGGTTTTGGTATGAATAAGTGTGAAACTCATGTAGCCAGTCTTCCATGTTTGCACAAAGTCCAGTGACATCTTTCTGTTTCCCAGTATTTAAACCCATGCAGTCCACTTTGCATATATTTTGACACTGTTCTATTAGCAACCATAAGAGTAATACTATCTCCATTTGATGAAGAGATAGCTGAGGCTTCAAGAATGTTAGTAGTGGCCGGCCGAGTGGCTCAGTTGGTTAAGAGCTCGCTCAAGAGTTTGAGCTCTGAGCAACAGCGGTTCGAGTCCAGCCCGAGCTGAGCAGCCGCTGAGCGGCCAACAGGTAGCAGGATGGCTCAGCTCAAAAAAAAAAAAAAAAGAATGTTAGTAGTTTTCTTAAGTATAAAGAGCCAGCATGAGACAGATTTGAGTTATGTCTCACTCTAATGAGACATAAGGATCACATTCGGTGATGTCTTTCTGATGGCAGTCTCTAGTAATAGCACAAGTCAGACCATACCTTCACTATATCTTGCTGCAGTAAACTAACAACACTGCTGTGATATGAATTATTCCTTTGAACTATTTTCTGAGCTACAGCATAGAAGCTTTCCCTTCAATCACTCTTGCTAGTCCACAATAGAAATTGGAACACCTTAAACCAAATAATTGCTGGTGACCTGACTCATACAAAACAGTGGATTGTATTATAACAGACAAGAAAAAGTGAACTTATGATGTTCGGGTCTGAAGGAAAATATCTTTTAATATTTAATGGTGCTATTTCAGAGTCCAACACACAATGAAATAACTTTCGTCTTTGAAGCTTTTACTTACATTTTCACATAGAGCACAAATAGCATTCCCTAATTCAAAAACAAAAAAATAAGTGATTGTTTTCAAAGTCCAGTCTTTTGAAGGCATTGCTGTCTTTCAGCTAAGTTGTTACTCTAAAAGGAAAAGATACTTTCCAGCTAGTACTTATGAACAAGCACACATACCCAGTAATTTATGATGTGTTTATATGTCACTTAGACTTTCTGTGGTTATAACAGCAGACATGCTTTATGTTAAATGAATCCTTCCTAAAAGGAGTTTTCAGGTAATACCTTCTGGAGGGTTTCTAGGTACTTGCCCAATCAAGAGTTTTTCCATTGCTTTTTCCAGCTGAATTTCAGGTTCTTGGACTTTCTTATTTTATCATCGAATTATCCCCAACTGCATCTTAATGTAAGCTAAACAAACCAAATAAAGGAAAAAAATGTTTGGGTCAAGCAGTGAAAGAGTGAAACTAGGCAGGACCTCCTCAGACCTGAGGCAAATTATTCTACTGTTTGGACCCTCAGGCTCTCATCTGTAAAACAAAATCATACACATAGACGATCTTCAAGTTTCTCTGAGCTCTAAATGCCATTTCTACACCATCAATGAATCAACTTCAATTAATTACCTAAATCAATCACCACTTTTAGTACATGTGTGTCTATAAATTTCTTTATTAATTTATTTAATATATATTTATTGGCCTTCATGCTCAGACCTGGGTTTACAGTGGCAAATGAATAGACTCAGTCCTTAGCCGCATTGCATTCATAGTCCAGAGGAAAAGGCAGACAAAAAACAAACTCTCAAATAAATAATAACTGTGATAAAAATACTGTGGCAGAGTGCTGTGAGAAAGAATAATAGGAAAAAGATAATTTAGACAGTGGAAGGGACATGTTTCCAAGAAAGTTTCATTGAAGAAGTGACAAGCAATTTGATGGATGAGGCGCAGCGAGACAAATAAAGAGTGATAGAAACAACATTCCAGGCATATAGGGCAGCATGTGGAATGATCCTGAGGCATTAAAGAGCTTGGGCATTCAGGGAACTTGAAGATCTTGTGACTAGAGCAGAGTGAACAAGAGGGGTGGCCTGAGACAAAGTTAGAAACAGGTTCCCACCAAATCATACAAAGCCTCGCCACCATGGTGAGCATTTTGTGTAATGTCGAGAAGGCAGGGAGAACCTGCTGAAAGATGGTTAAGCAAGAGAAGTTGGTGATTCGAGTGCATTTTTAAGATTACTCTGGTCACTCTACACAGACTGGAGGAAGGCAAAAACAGATAAAGCCAGCTCATTTGGGAATTAGTCCAGACAAAGGATGATGGTGGTTTGGATGAGGAGGCAATGGTGGAGAAGAGGGTGAATTTTATATATCTTGAAATATCCTCATTTTGCATCTATAATCAGCTGTGATGCACAGTGTGATATCTGTTCCCGCCTTTGTTGGTCAGTGATAGAAATTCAGGTAAAATGGGCAAAACTTGACCACTTGCACTACTCAGCAGTACATACAGAAGAACAGAAACAAGTGATCTGTGTAAAGAGCAGCAAAAAAATGGAATTTGCTGGCTTGAATGGAGAGGACAATGAAAATGGAGGCAGCTAAGATTTTTCTGGAGTAATGAGTAGAAAATGAGTGGGGAAAACCAGAGCTGACACCTTAGGTAGAACATGTAGGAGAAGATAAACGAATCAACCATAATATTTTGCCCATTTTGAAAGGTTCATGCAAAAGTCACAGAAAAGAAGAATTACCTGGGCTATGGAAGTAATCACTTTTCAGTGATTTCATAGTCATCACCAGAAAAGGGTAGGTTGTATCCTAACCAAAGCTCTCCATATGTCTGACAGGAACAAACGCTAAGCATGGACTGCGCTGCAAAGCCTGTAAGATGAGCATTCACCACAAGTGCATGGATGGCCTTGCACCCCAGCGGTGTATGGGCAAGCTGGTAAGGGCCTGTGCCAGGACCAAAGCCCAGAACCCCCTGTGCAGGCGCTTGCCTGCCCCAGTGAGATCACTCCATTTAAACTCCTCCTCTACAGCACCCTTGAGAACGAGACACCAGGAAGGCAGCCCCAGAAGGCCTGGCCTGCCACCTTGGCTTCCTAGGTAACAAAATGATAGAACAGAGGAGGAGCTTTGTCAGCCTAGGAGACGAGTGCTCCACATGGAAAAAGGACTCAGTGTCCTTAATAGCATGACCAACTTGTCCCAGTTGGGACTGTCTCAGTGTTAGCACAGGAAGTCCCACCTCCTGGGACAGTCCAGGTTTTAAAAGTGAAAGTCAAGCACCCCAAGAACTACTCCCCCAGCTGCAAACTAGGGTGGTTGGTCATCCTAGTACTTAATTGGCTGACAGCTCAGTGGGTGTCATGAATGGGATAGAGATTAATCACATTCCCAAAGGTGGAGAAAGTAGTAAAAACTCTACACCACTTTGATAGAATCATGCTGGTCAAACCAAGGGAGGTTGGGTAACCCTGGCCCATTCTGGGCTGATCATATTGTCTCAGGAGTGTGCCTCACATTGATAAAAAGCAACCCAGAGCACATATGAGGATATTTGAAACTAGGATGACCAAAGAATTGTAGAAATGACCAAGAATATCTACCCTAGAGAAATTTAGGCCATGACAGCCGTCTTCAAAAAATTTTAATACAAGCACAAGAGGGATCCTATTGTCATCTGTGGCTCCAGGAAAAAGATCTAGGATCAGTAGGTACCAAGTCTTAACAATCAGAGATAAAGTCACCAAAGACCTGTCTTTAGGGTTAGTGAGAGCTCCCCCACCCACTCCCATCACTGGCAGTATCCAAACAAAGGAGGGTACCACTGCGAGGAACATTGGATACAATTCTGGAATTCTAGGAGGGGCTGGGCCACTAGGTTCTCTTTCAATACTAGGATACAGTGAGTTGAGGTTCTTAGAGTTTTCAACTCAGTCTCATTGGCAAAGTCCTCTTCCCTAAAACCCTTGTCTCACCTGTTCCCCTACCCTTCCTCAAATCGTGATTCCCATAGGCTAAGGCAGACACCATGGAAGAGAGGTCACAGAAACAGGATGGAATCTAGGACACAAAGCCAATGGTCCTGGGTAGAGCTCATCAGACATACAAGGGCCTTGAGGCTTCTGAGGTCTGACTTCTGAGGTCTGCTTTCGCATGCCCAGGGCTTTTCTGATTTTAATAAACCACAATAACAAGCTGGGGTGAAATAAGGCATAATGGTCCATTTGTATCCTAGGAGATAATGAGGGGCCGGGATGCAAGGGAGGCTGCTGTGGGCTGTGGAGAGAAGAGAAGGAAGATGGGGTGGCCGGGACCGGGGCTTGCTTTCTGGGTGGAGTGTAGCTTGCTTATTGCCACCTGTATATCCCAGCTCTCCAGGGATAAATCATAGGACAAGTCAGCATCTTAAAGGGAGATGAAGGTGCCCTTAGAGAAACCAACTGGCTTGATTTTTACAGTTCTTCTGGGGTTTTATCCCTCTCATCAGTGACATTAAGCGCTTCTCTTTCTCATTCTCTCTCCAGCCAAAGGGGTTTCGGCGTTACTACAGCTCTCCCTTGCTCATTCATGAACAATTTGGATGCATTAAAGAAGTTATGCCCATTGGTGAGTTGGGACATGGATGGGTGGACTAGGTGAGCAGCAATGTCAGCATGAATGGCTGCTGCTCTCCCAGAGTTGCAAAACCAGCAGGATATGCTTGTGCATTTGTTTGTGGGTTTGTGCATTTAATGGGGTTATGATTGTTTGTGTATTTTGCTGGAAGGAAACATAAGGTGGATCAAATTCTGCAGGAATATTCATCCTCTCCCCGACGAAACTCGAAAAACACCCAAGTCCTAAAGGCTGCTGACATGCTACACCACCCATCAGCAGCATGGTGGAGTGGAAAGAGCATGGGGTATGGCATCCCATGACCTGATTTAAAGCCCAGCCCCCCCACTGACTAACTGTGCGTTTGAACAAGCTACTCAACTTGTCAGACCCTATGAAATGAGAACAGCAATGGCCTCCTTTGATAGCTGTTGTAAAAATAAATATAAATTATAGACCAATGCTGGGAAGGTGCTCCATGAATATCAGTTATTCTTTAATGAGAACAAAAAAATGCCTTAGATTTATAGATATTTCTGGCTTGCATTTATTCTGTAATAATATCACTCAGTGTACTTCTATTTTTCTCTCTCTCTCTGAAAACCTCCACATCAATGTTTGCCTTTTGGCGGGGGTGGGGGACAAGTTTTATAAACTAGAAAGCTTTGCATTAGAAACACATGAAGCCTGGTCATACCCAATTCTTTGAAAAATACTTGCTCCCTACTGCAAACTTTGTGTCTCAAGACTTCATACGTGGGTGAGCAGAGCTCCCCTCTAGGGGATGTAAAGCTGGCCTCTGGAAAGAACCTTGAAATTGGAGTCCTAGGGATAGATAACAAAAGCAGAAAACCAATCCACCAGGAAGCCTTTGGGAGCAGAGAGTGCTGGGTGCATGGAGGGACCTGGAAAATGGGCACATGTCGTGGGGAGCACCTCTGTGAGGAGCACTGAGCACAAAAGCTCCGTTTTTCCAGGGGTTAGTGGGTCTGCTGCTCAGAAACGGCTTCCCTGGTGCATGTGATAAGTGGTATAAGATGCAACCCAGGAGATGTGATGAGTGATTGGCTGCATTCCTGACAGTGATTTGAGGTAACCTTTGTCTCAGACGGCCTTTCTCTTCCTTTGCAGCCTGTGGCAATAAGGTGGACCCCGTCTATGAGACCCTCCGCTTCGGCACCTCCCTGGCTCAGAGAACAAAGAAGAGCAGCTCCGGCAGTGGCTCCGATTCGCCTCCCAGAACCTCTGTAATTGTCCTCTGCGTCCCTCAGTCCATCAGGGTGCTCTCAGGCAGGGCAGTGTGAGGGGTTCCACCAAAATGCATCATAAGGGTGGGTCTGTTGGGAGTCAGGCAGCCTCCAAAGGGAAACCCAAAGGGCTTTGGGGCACTAAAGGTTAACCTCCTGTTGCCAACACCCAGGAATCATTTTTACTTTCTTCCTCAAAGAACATGCTCTTGGCTCCAGGCTCCTTGACTCCCTCTTCCATGTACTACTTCTCCCTCTGCCTCCCACCAATATTACATCACACGTCAGTCAACACATAGACAGATTTCACCCAAACAATGAGCAAAAACAAGGAGTTCCAGCTGCGTTCAGTTCTTCCTCCAGATACATCCCAGTTCAAGGATGCAGCCATTTCTCACATTTTCTCGATCTTTTCTCTCCAAGGTGAGGTACACCCTTGGTTTCACACAAAAACTGCCCTCCAGAGACACTTGACCTCTGACTTAGGGGGGCTTCTCTCCGTGGGACACTCACCCTCTCAAACACCTCTCCTGTTATACCTGATCTAAAATGAGTGTTCCATGCATCTCTGTGACCTACCATCATTATCTTGCCTCTAGCGGTCCCAACCAGAATTTCCATAAATTCCCCAAGATGCCACATCTACAACTCATGTGGAAGGCGACCATCTCTGCCGCAGAAAGACAAGGACCTTCCAATTCACATTTCCAATTAGGATAGCTTGTACCCAGTTATTGGTTCCATTGTCGCAGCTTCTGCTGGACTGAGGACTTCCGGGCAAGACACAGATAACCCTCCAAATGGTCTGCCCCATAGGGTCCCCTCAACATCCAGGGATTAGGGTTGGTTGTGGGAGAAGAGTAGACAGACTCCTGGAAAGGGTCCTCAGGGGCTGAGTTGAGGTAGAGCCCTCACTAGGTGCACGTCAACCCACAAGAAAACATAGGTATGTAGGTCAGGTGGGTGAGTAGGTAGGTTTGTAGGTCCTCGACCAATGCCACATGGTCATCCTAGAAGCCATCTTTAAACTCACTGAAAGTCCTGTTCTTCCTACATTCCACTAACTTCTGAGAGGGAAGAAACAAAAATAGCTCTTCCTTTTTTTCTTTGCTCAACATAAAATTGATGTCAATTAGTTCTTTTTTTACTACTTAGCTAGCTAGCATGAGTTAAGTGCTTACAGTTTACTAGCACTGTAGGGGACACAAAAGAATGGAGGACATAGCTCTTTACTCTTAGAATTCACAACTTATTTCTAAAGACCAAACTGATGGAGCAGAGAGCTGAGGATGGCGACTTATTTAGCATTTTTTAAATACAGTTTTATATGTCTTACCCTATCTTTATTAGGAATAAGAACATCACACACATGAATTAAGGGTATTATAACTATGTCATGTGAGTGTTGAAGGATTTCACAGTGAAGATGAGAAGTATTTAGCTTCAATAGACATTGCCTCAAAACAGTGAGGGTATAATTTGTGACATTTGAAGATACCGAATCCTGATGATCTCCTTAAAGAGGCTATAAATCAAATTGGCAGTCCAAGTAATAATGCTAATTCGTTTACTGAAAGAAGGCTAGAAATGGTGCTAAATGTAATGAAAACATACAAAGCACATACAGACAAGGTTTATATTATATACAAATATGTTATGGTTGTGGGGGTTGGATGACAATAGTAGTATCAGTAGAGTTCCTAGCACAGGGCATCACTGGCACTCAGTAAGTGGAAGGTATTGCTGTTTTATTTCATTAACCATCTAGGCCTTAGCTAGGTTTTCTCTGAACTGGAGTTATGAACGTGTAAAAAGGTTGCGATCCATTCTAGAAGTAAGTATGTCTTTGAGTTGAGCATGTCCCAGAGCTAGCCTTTAACAGGGTCCATCCTCAGCTCTGTAGAAAACCCCTGAGTCACTCAAGGGTTCTGGTAAGCCTGTCCCCCTGTCATGTCCTCCAGTCACTTCCTTGCTTGGGTGTCTCCAGGGGTCTGCTTTGGCTTGATCTTCGTGTTCTACTTGCTTTTCCTGGTTACCTTTCTCACACTCTTTTTGTCCAACCACCATCTCTAAGCTGATGCCTCCCTTAGGTGTTTCCCATCTTAACCTCTTTCCCAGGCTCTGGACCAGTCCTACGGATTTCTTAAAATGAACATGTGCAAGCTAACTCATGCTCCATTGCTGATTAGGTCCTGTGATTCAGAACTCAGAAATGCGTATCAAAAATGCTCTTCCTCGCTATCACCGATGCTGGAGGTATTTGACTGCATCCTCTCTCTCCCAAATTATTATAAAGGAATAACTGTGCAACCCTCTTCCCTTTGAGTCTACTCTCTGCAGTATCTCCAGATTTATTATCTTTTAAAGAAAGACTTTTTTTCCTAATTAAAGACTCAACTTTCCTAATTAAAACACTCTGTTGGCTCGCTTATGCCCCAAAGGCAAAACCCAAACTTTTTAGCATAGCAAATGAGGCCTGTCTAAAGACATTCCTTCCTCTGAGCTCACTAAGCTCTTTAACATCTGCACACCTTAGAACATGCTGCTCCCACCAGCTGAAATTCTTTAAGGCCCAGCTTGGTGTTTACAAAAACTGTGAAGAGTTCTCAGACTCCCCAAGCATGGTGAATTGCTCCTCCCACAAGCCTTC